TTTCGAAGAGACAGCCTGCGAAAACCACTTTTTGCAAACCCACAAGCGGGATGAAAGCGGCCGATATACGGTTCACTTACCCTTTAAAACCCTATTTGGACATGGTAAGCTCCCAGGATTTAGTGGCACCGACTTTAACGCTGTTAAAAGACTTAAGCAGCTAGAAATGCGATTCAAAAATCAACCTAACTTTGCAAAGCTTTACAAAGATTTTATGGCAGAATATCTAAGCTTAGGCCATATGCGAGGAGTCGGATTTTATCCAGAAGATCTGCACAAAAATTCATATTTCTTTTGCCATCATGGTGTCTTACGGCAATGCAGGAGCACCACCAAATTGCGCGTTGTATTCGATGGTGGGAATCGTTGTCCCCCTCAACCTTCTCTCAATGATGAACTTGCTGCAGGGCCGGCATTGCAAAGTGATTTGTCAAGTATTATTTCTCGATGGAGAAGTCACAAAGTAGCTTTTACAGCCGATTTAGAAAAAATGTTTAGGCAAATCAACGTTTGTAAGGAACATCAAAATTATCAGTGCATTCTCTGGCGAGAGGATTCTACAAAGCGAATTAAAATATATAAACTTTGCACTGTCACTTATGGGACAACTTCTGCTCCGTATTTAGCGATTCGCGTTCTACGCCAACTAGCCACTGATGAGCAAACAAATTATCCTCTCGCAAGCCAAGTGTACTTAAATGATACCTACGTTGACGATATTATATCAGGTGCAGACACGAACGCGGAAGCAATCGAGCTACAACAACAACTCAGCAGGCTGTCATATAGTGGCGGATTTAATCTTAGAAAGTGGAACTCAAATTCTGCCGAGTTGCTACAAATAATTCCACCTGAGAATAAAGAGAACGCCAATTGGATTGAACTTAAGGCAGAGAACCTCGTAAAGATGAATTCTCTTTCAAAATCAACTTTAGTTTTGCTTCCGCAATAACTAAGAGGAGTATGCTTTCTGATGCGGCCAAATTATTCGACCCACTTGGTTGGCTGGCGCCTACCACAATTATCGCTAAAATCATGTTCCAAAAGTTATGGATGGAGGGACTAGATTGGAATGACCCACTTCCAACTAAATTAAATGCTGAATGGTTGCAGTATCGAGATTCTCTGCATGAACTCGAAAGCATAAAGATTCCAAGGTGGTTTGGATGCAACAAATTTAACAAAATTGAGTTGCATGGTTTCAGCGACGCCTCACAGGCTACCTATGGGGCAGTTGTATATGCGGTAGTCTACAACAACTTAACTATTTCAGCATCACTTATTCAGTCAAAAACTGAGGTAACACCGCTCAAAACTGTGTCAATTCCGAGACTGGAATTATGTGCGGCGGCGTTACTGGGTAAACTCATGGCGAAAGTGAAAACCTACTTCCACGCGGATGCTCCTGTTTTCTATTGGACCGACAGCACAGTGGTTTTGAGTTGGATACGATGCCATTCCACGCGCTGGTCCGTGTACATCGCCAATCGCGCAGCTGAGATTCAGCGCATATCTGACGTAAGTCAGTGGAGGCACGTGCGTTCAAGCGAGAATCCAGCGGACTGCTTAACACGCGGTCTGACTCCAAGAGAGCTTAAAGCACATACATTTTGTTGGGCCGACTTGGCTTACTGGGCCAATATCGAACTGGCCACACGAGAACTTAACTTTCGAAACGTGTTTAGAAGAGCGAAAATCATATATCGCTTCTCACGTAACTACGTTAGCTTAAAACTCTATGGAATACCCCGATTTTATTTGTAAATTCTCTTCGCTCTCTCGGCTTGTGCGCGTCACCGCGTATATTCTACGCTTTTATTATAACTTAAGAGCAGCGCTGCAGCAACACAACATAGAGAACAATTTATGTGAGACGGGCTTTCTAAAATCACGCGAGATTAAACACGCACTCGATGTAATAATCAAGCAGGTACCCAAGAGATACACCGTTTGGAAAATTAACAAACTCTTAACAAAAAGAGTAAAATTCTTCAATTAGCTCCTTTTCTGGATGGTGATAACTTGCTAAGGGTCGGAGGTAGAATTTCGAAGGCGAAAATTACATTTGACGTCAAACATCCAGTGTTATTATCAAAACAATCATTTTTATCGTTTATAATATTCACAGACGCTCATCACCAAACTCTACATGGCGGCGTTCAGCAGATGCTTTCATTTGTATCTCAACGTTACTGGATTCTATCAGCGCGCAGCTTAGCAAAATCCGTGCTCCGTAAATGCGTAATCTGTTTCAAATACACAGCGAAGGTGCATCAGCAGCAAATGGGAAATTTACCCGCAGTTCGTCTTCAACCAACTAAACCGTTTCAGCACAGTGGACTCGACTACGCTGGTCCCATAACACTAAAGCTTTCAATACTTCGCAAAGCGGCAACCACAAAAGGCTATATCTGCCTGTTCATTTGCATGTGCACGAAGGCCATACACCTTGAAGTAGTTTCAAGCTTAAATACTGACGCCTTTATCGCCGCATTTCGTCGCTTTATATCAAGGAGGGGTCGATGCAGCGATTTATACTCTGATTGCGGTACTACGTTCGTAGGGGCTAACAAAGAGCTAAAGGTTTCCTTTCAGCAGCAAAAGGCTTCGCTCCCCGAACATCTTGCTGCCGCACTTGCAAATGAAGGTACGACATGGCATTTCATTCCGCCCGCTTCACCAAATTTCGGAGGCTTATGGGAAGCGGCGGTTAAGTCGCCTAAACATCATCTAAGACGAATAATGCGAGATCGGGTGCTTACTTTTGAAGAACTCAGCACGCTTCTTGCACAAATTGAAAGTTGCTTGAATTCTCGGCCGCTCTGCCCATTGTCAGCATATCCCACTGATCATCAAGCGTTGACACCTGCACACTTACTTGTAGGTGAACCCACAACTTGCGTCTCAGAGGAGAGCCTGCTTGACTCTAATATCGACCACCTGACCCGCTGGAAACTAGTTGAGCGCCTAAAGCAACATTTCTGGCATCGATGGGCTAACGAATACTTACACACTCTACAAACTCGCACCAAGTGGACACAAGTTCAAAAAAATCTTCGCGTCAACGACATCGTTTTGCTGCAACATGAGCGTAGCGCTCCTGGCTATTGGCCGTTGGCGAGAGTGCATGAGATACATCCCGGTGCAGATGGTCTAGTAAGGGTCGTTACGCTTTTCTGTAATGGCAAACTTGTGAAGCGGCCGATTTCTAAAATTTGTTTGCTGCCCATCAATGATAACACTGACACCACTGCCGATGTTTTGTAACTTAGCCAGCTTGTTTCCCGCTGACATGATGAACCTTAAAAACTTGGTTTTTGCTGCCGGAGAATGTTCAATATTATTGCATAGTATTTTACTTTCATACTGACTTTTGCAGCCCTGTAATATTCGTACAACATTGGAGCGCTTAAGTACTCATCAAAACACCTTTCTGGAATTGCTGCAAACCCTTTTTACCTGGTATCACCACTTCTGACATGAA